AACATTTCAGATTCGTTAACGGAACATGAAACAACAAATAAATTAAATCAAGTTCATTAACGAGCTCCCCCCCCCCCCACGCAGCCTATCCGGCCGTGGTGCTGAGCGACCTCTTGCGGGCGGCACTGGTGTGGCGCTTCGGGGGCTTCTACTGCGACTCGGACACAGTCTGCCTGAAGGACACCAGCGCCCTCAGGAACGTGGCCAGCTACGCTCAGCAGAACATCGGGAAAATCGGCAGTTTCTGCTTCCACTTCCGAGATCATCATCGCTTCTTGGAGACGCTCATGGAGGTCCAGAGGGAGAACTTCCAGGTGGGAATGAGCAGCAGTGGGAGTCCTTCTTGGCAAGGGATCGGACGCATTCATTCTAGGGAATACGCTGGGAAAGGGATTCGAAACCAACCTGAATCGGATTGGGTGCGTTGGAGGCCTCGTCAAGGAGGAGAGTTTTGCATACGTCAGGAAATATATATATATATATATATATATATATATATATATATATATATATATATATATATATATATATATATATATACATATATATATGTGTGTGTGTGTGTGTGTGTGTGTGTGTATTTATACATATATATATATATATATATATATATATATATATATATATATATATATATATATATATATATATATATATGTAAATAGTACGTATTTACATATACGCGTACATACATACTTATATGCACTATATACTTATATGTATATATACATATATATACATATATATAAATATATATATATATATATATATATATATATATATATATATATATATATATATATATATATATATATATACATATGTGTGTGTGTGTGTGTGTATATATATATATATATATATATGTATATATATATATATATATATATATATATATATATATATATATATATATATATATATATATATATATATATATATATATATATATATATATATATATATATATATATATATATATATATATATATATATATATGTATATATATATATATATATATATATATATATATATATATATATATATATATATATATATGTATATATATATCTGTATATATGTATATCTATCTATCTATCTATCTATCTATCTATCTATCTATCTATCTATCTATCTATCTATCTATCTATATATATACACACACACATATATATGTATATATGTATATATACATATACATAAATATATATACATATATACATATGTATGTATATATATGTATATATATATATATATATATATATATATATATATATATATATATATATATATATATACATATACATATATGTATATACATATATACTTATATACATATATATATATATATATATATATATATATATATATATATATATATATATATATATATATATATATATATATATATATATATATATATATATATATGCGTGTATGTGTAAGTATAGTATATGATGTGTAAAATCTGCGAATTATCCTTGTTTTATAACCCAGACAATCTAAGAATATAATATATGCACACACACACACACACACCTCTACTCTACCTGTTTCTCCTCCTAGCGCTCTACCTCTTCCCATTCCTGCTTTTCCTGCTCTTCCCTACCCGCCCTCCTCCTCGCTCCTCCTGATCCCCCCTTCCTCCTCCTTGTTCTTCGATCCTTCCTTTCTCCCCTCCTCCCCCTCCTATCTTCCCACCCCTCCCCTCCCCCTCCCTTCTTCCTCCCCTCCCCTGCACCGCCACTCAACCCTCACCCAGTTCCTCTTCAACCCAACAGCCGAACACATGGGATTCCGTCGGGCCTCTGTCGTTCACCAAGACGTCGCGACGCCTCTGCGGCGAGGACGACCTGTCCCGCCTGAGCCCCGCCGGGAGCACGACGCCCGTGAGCTGCGGCGACTTCCGGCTGCTCCCCCCGCGCTTCCTCACGCCCGTCCTCTTCTACGACGTCGGGGAGATCTTCGCCCCGGGGGCGGGCAGGGACTTCGCCAGGGTGAGTGGCTGCGGGAGAGGGAGGGAGGGGGGAGGGGGGAAAGGTACGAGTGGCTGGGATTGGGAGGGAGGTCGCCAGGGTGAGAGTCCGAGTGGAGAGGATTGGAAGGAACTTCGCCAGGGCGAGTGTCCCTCTGGGTGAGGTTGCAGAGGAGTTTGGGATGCTGAGTGCTCGATTGGAAAGGATTGGAAAGGACTGAGTGTCTGATTTACAGGGATTGGAAAGGGGTTTGGGTCGGGAAGTGTCCGATTGGAAAGGAAAGTGTCGGAGTTCGGGTTTATATATGTCCGATTGGCTGGGATTGGAAGAGAAGTAAACATCATATTTCCTGGGATGAGAAAGAAAGTAAAGTTGGGAAGTGTAAGATTATCTGGAATTGTGAAAGATGTTGGGTTTGATTGCATTCGATTGTTTAGAACTAGATAGGAGTGAAGATTGATAGGTATTTGATTAAAAGAGATAGAAAATGAGACCGGGAGGGTAAGCCTCCTGCCGGAAGAAGGTG